TTTAAAAATCGGAGCAGACTAGACGACCGAACCATTTGGCTCAGGAAATGGTCAAGTCATCAGTTTCGTTTTGGCCTTAAACCACTATTTTACAAAAAACCATTGAAATGGTTAGGGAACTACTGATTCGAACGGTTTAACCGTTAAAATGTTCGACACAGTTAACAACTCTCGAGTTGCATTCAAACTAATTCTAAATTTTTATTTATTTTAAAATAAAAATTAGAAAGTAAAAAAATGGTAAAAGAAATTTTCATATCTCAAAATCTTGTTCGATTATTCCTAATAGCCAAAATTAGTTATGGTTTGTAGTTATTACATTTTGATTTTGAGTTTTCTTATTTCTATGATTCTTTTTAAGTTGTAACAACAAAAAAAAATTGCAACTCCAATGAAGAAATTGAAAAATTAATACAAGAGATGAGAGATTAAACATTGATCTTATATTAAAATCCGAAATACTTCAATGAATCAAATGATCTAGGATTTGAGAGAGATTTAAAGATATTAAGAAGAGGGCAAGTGGTGTTGTAGCCACAATGATAATGAACAAGGAGATAGCCGTCGCTGCCGATTCCTTCTTCTTCTTCTTAGGACAAAAAGTTCTGCAACAATGCTCGATGAACATGGTGACAACCACCTCCAACGATGCTTCCTTCTCTTCTTCTTCTTCTTCTTCTTCTCTTTCTTTTTTCTCACTTCTGAACTTTAACTAGGAGCTTCCTTCTTAAGGGTGATCATTTTAGCTCGTCTCGGCCTGAAAATTCTAGGCTTGGGACAGGGTTTTGTTCAAGCCCGACCCGACCTGTATATATTTAAACATACACATTGTGTATAATGTGTATATATATGTACACATTACTTTACATTATTTTATATATTTTATATATAAATATTATAATGTAACATGTATAATTTATATTATATAATATTTAATATTATATAATGTATAAAATAAGTTTATATGCATGTTATATGTCATTTAATATAAAATATTATATATATGTAACGTTTTATATATGAAAGACATAGGTCCGACTCTGCTCAAGCCCATATATACCTAGGCTAGGGCTTTTGTTTCAGGCTCATGCCTAAGCTATAGCCCTTATCATAAGTGTAAACTTGGCCCAACTCGGCCCGACCCATGATCACTCCTACTTATTATCAAAGTCTCATACTCCCCTCTCATAATAATGTATATATATGTGGTGGAGTTTAACCTAATCATAACCTAATGGTCAAAATAAAAAGTTACATTATATTTTACATTTTACTGGTTTGACCCACTCAAATTGGATTATTGAACTATTGACTCAAAACAAAAGCCAAAGTGGTTCTGTTTTTGAATCAATTTTTAAAACCTTGATTTTAGTCAAAAGAAAGTTTCACAATCTTATTTATATTTTTAATAGTAGTGTATATATAAGATTATAGATGTGTTAAAAAATTTCTATAATTTTTTTAGTGTTTTTGTGTATAAAAATAATTCTAATATGGCACACTTATGTTTAAAATGTTAAATACATGATATTATACATGTGCCTAATTTTTTTTTTCAAAATTTATGTATTTTTATATTTTATTAATTTTTATTATTTATTTATGACATTAAAGGTTAACACATTTAACCCAAAAGTTGAACTATATATTATTAATTTTTATATTTCATTTTTGGTCGGTTCTAAATTATGTATTTCATTTTCATTATCAATAAAAATAATTCTTGTTTATTACACTTATTTTTTTTAATTGATTAATAAAATATTATTAATGTTTATATTTTTTCTACATTTTTGTAATTTTCTATATTTATTTCTATTTTAAAAATTTTATTACCTAACTATGACTTTATAGGTTGACCAATTTGATTCAGATGGTTGAATTTCTTAGCCACCACTTGAATAAAGAATGATTTTGTTTTTGAGTCTGTTTTAAAATATATGGGTTTATATTGTTAAAATATTGACATAGATCTAATTAGTAGCATTTATTAGTGAAAAATAACTTAAAATATAGGGATTAATAAGAGAAAAATGGATTTAATATCTTAAGTATAAGACTCAATGAAAGGGAATTAAATGAGGTGGAAAGTAATAATTGAACTTACATTTTTAACCCTTACAATTAGAGATGGATTAAATACACAAATATGGTTATTATAGTAGCCATTAAAGCTGACACTAAAATTATAATAAAATGACTTTTATACCCTTTCTCAAACAAAGAAATAAAGAGTAATTTTAATCCAAAAAAAATTCACACTACATTCACGCTTTTATATATAGTATAGATGTGTGAGGCTCTAAGGGAGTTGGGAATTTGGAAAGTTGTTTTGTTGTATTGAAACACCCTATACATACGAGTATACCATTGGGTTGGGTATTTGAAACATTGGTGACCCGTTCATCTAAGGGAGATTGTAGAGTAGTAACTTTGGAAGTCTTCTTCATTTTTATTTTGTTTTTTTTTTCTTTGGTGATAGGAGAGGGGAACTTTGGAAGTCTATTCAAGATTATTAAGGGCCTGTTTGGTTTGCTGGAATAGAGGTTTGGAATTGGAATGGGTCATTTTGATTCCAACTATTTGGTTGGGTGGAATTGGATTCCCATTCCCATTCCTTCTGGAACGACAATCCCCCATTTGAAGGAATGACCAATCCCTCCCCCTCCCTTATGAATGAAATCCCATTCCAGCCAATTCTAATTTCCATTCCTATTCTTGTCTGAACCAAACAGACTATAAAAGTAGATCATTCTAATTCTGACTATGAACTAAACTGACCCTAAGTACTTCAAAACAATGCCTCCTTACTCTTTCTTTTGTCACGTCAAAACCCATTTGTTGATTACCCCAAGTACTTAAAAACAATGCCTCCTTACTCTTTCTTTTGTCACGTCAAAACCCATTTTTTTGATGACCCTAAGTACTTCAAAACAATGCCTCCTTATTCTTTGTTTGTTTGTTTTTTTTTTTAATTTTGTCACGTCAAAACCCCTTTATTTGATGACTCTCATTTGTAGGCAAAATTTGTATTTAAAAAGAATGTATGTATTTGTACGACATGTTTTTAATTGAATTATTATAGTCAATTATGATTTCCAAAAAAAAAAATATTATAGTCAATTGACACAGATGGAGCTGAACCATAATTGTCAAGTGAACTTTGAGTGGTTACAGTGTAACCAGGAGGGCATCAACCAATTAATGCCAAAATCCCAATGCAGCTTGGGTTAATGGGTTCTATGTAGATTTCTTTTGTTAGTGGGGTTCTGTGTAATTTACTAAAAATAAGAAAAAAGAATGCCCTGCCAATTGAAGCATAGACTATAAAACAAACCACAAAGTAGTGGTTTTGGTAAAAAAAAAAAAAAAGTAAACAGTAGCTGTTTGATAACAGCTAAATAGCTGAATTGAATGACTTACTATTATAGATAAAATACTTATATAATAAAATATTATGAGGGTCTGTATAATTCAGCCATTTCAAGTGCTATAAAAGGAGATGTTCAGTTTCTAAAACAATGACTGCATGTGCACAGAGACACTGTTCCCATCTCCCAAGCAAGGAGCTGCACATGCTCATGATAATAAACTCCAAGAAAATCATCAAATGGAAGAAGAATTAAATATAGAATCTTAAAAGCATCCAATTTGTATTATAATCCCAATCTTGGGAAATGGGATATGCTTCTAAAACTTCCAAGGATGGAGATTTCTTTTATGGGAATACAGTTAGACTCTGATGACACAAATTGGATGATCCTATTAAGATTCTATATTTAATCTATAACAAGACAAACACAAACCAATGATTCTGAAAACTTGCATAACTTGTTCTAATATATATATAAAAATGTCAATGCAACCCCACGTCCATATTAATTTATTTTGAGTCCAATAGTTCCCTTGCAAGAAAGCAAAATGATAACAGACTGTTTGGCATTAAAGTTTTGTTTTTAAATAGACTATGATTCATTCATCTCATAAAAAATTCTTAGTTCATTGGCTTGCACTACTTTCTGAGCTCATTTGATTGCAAAAAGGGTGGAAGCTCTGAGAAACATCTTTTTTGGGATTTTAGATTTTTGTAGAACTTGTTTTGCCAAATCCAGGCTGACATGTGATTCAACGTTGTCAAATCCGGACCGGATAGAAGTCGGAAAGCTCAACCAGCCCGGTTAGACCATTCAGCCCGTGAAATCATCATACAATCAATGTTCGGGAAGGAGTTTGGTTTGGATCACCTGCAAACTAAATACATTCCAACACCCCACCAACATGATCTGACACATTTCATACATGACAAGTCTCACTTTTATGGTGGGTCCCACTCTCATGGTGAGATGTGCGGCGTCAGATCTTATTGGTAGGCTGTTGAAACGCGTTTTATTGGCAGGAGATCCCAACTCCTTGGAAAGTTCAAGTGTCACCGGTTCAACCATCCAGCCCAGTCTGAATCTGATGGTCTGACCAGCCTGAATGATCGGTCCGCTTGTTAATTTTGAGAGTGATGGTTCTATTCTGACTTTTATAAAATTTTCAATCCCTCTCTTTGAATGGGGATCAAGAGGTCGGCTTAATCATTTGACTCATGACCAGTCAACTTTGGCTCCAATTCTGGGTTTCTATTTTTCAAATTGTAGTTGAGATGACATCAGCACCTCACATCCACAATTCTGGGTTTCAAACTGTGGGGTGCCTCACAGACTCATCTACCGTGTATTGAGAACATCTCCCGTCAATAATAACTTAAGAGATGTTTTCAATACATGGTAGGAACAGATACGGTCTCATAGTCATACACCTATGGTCTAATCTAACCCTTTAAATTGCTACCAACATTATGGGATACAAATCAAATGGTCCAGTTTGGATCCGGTCCGACCAAATCCAACCCGATGAATAATAGCACCCATAGATCCATATCAGTAGGATTTTCAGACTGTGGAACAGACTTCCAAAAGGGGAAAAGAATTAAAAGAAAGGCCCATTGAGAAGAGAGCTACAGCTGAAACCCAACACCTTTTGCAGAAGTGTTTTGAAAGGAAGAAAAACTGAAAAGAATGGAGTCGTCCCAACTCCCATGCCTTCAAGGGTAAAATGGTCATTTGGTTTAATTAATGGAGAACAGAGATGAGATGGGAGAAGCGGAAGGAGTATTTTTTTTTTTTTTTTTTTTTTTTTTCTTTTTTTGCTTTTTCTTCCAGCCTATATCCCCGGATTATATCTTTTTTTGTTCGATAATTACATCCCCGGATGATCAGCTAAAATTTTTCTGTAGCTTTCCACAAACGAAACTGCAGTTGGATCGGAAAAGAGGAAGAGAAGGAAAATAATTTCCCCTTCTTTTTCCTCTAGGCTGTATCTCGCATTTAAAGGAACCCGAAAAACCATAGTAAAACCCAACAAACCACCAATCAATCGAGCGTATTGGTTTTTGTTGAACTCCAACCGCGTTTCTTTTTCTTTTTTTTCCCCCTTCTTTTTTCCTTTCGCAAATTTCGATGTGGAGAAGTGAACAACCAGAAGTTCCAAATATTCGATTCTCTTCCGGTGTAGTCACAGGGATTTCTCATGGCAAAGCGAGTGTACGAAGTTTGGAAAGGAAGCAATGTAAGTGTCTTTTCAAATTTTCTTTGTTTTTAGTGTTGTTCTTGTTTGATTTTGTCTCTTGGGTATGTACGGATCGAAGTGGGAAATGGTGGGTTTTGATTGTTTTCGTGGTATTTGAATTGGGTTTTGTTGGATTTAGGGGTTTTGCTGGATTTCAGTACTTGGATAGGTTTTTATTTCCGCTCCTTTTGTTGAAGAGTAGGTTGTTTTGTTTGTCTGAAGGGCTTCTTTGTTTATTACTTGAATTGGGTCTTAGTTAAGCGACCTTGCATGTTTAATATTTGGCTTTGTTCCGGAGGAGGATGTCAGTTGTTTGTGTTTGACATTGGCTTTAAATGGTTTTCTTGAAGAGGGACTTTTGATGTACATGAAATGTTACCCTAGAGGTCTACAGTAAAATTACTGGAAGAAAACGAGATTGGTGAACATACTGTTAAGCTCTTTCCATGGAATCACTGCTTGGCTATGCTGGAATAACTTGGGGGTGGGTGGGTGAGTCTGAACATATTGTTTTTCAAGAAAATAAGTCTGGAGTCTTAGGGTTAGTAGCAATATAGGGGCTTTTTTTTTGGGCTAAGTTTTTAAGAGTGGCACTGGGACAGGCTAATAGTTTTTGGAATCCTCAATTTATTTCAAAGTTGATGTAGGTTCTGGCAGTAGTCTTTATTGTGTAAGCATAGTCTGCAAGAACATTTTATTTTCTTCTATTTTGCAATGCTATTTGCTTGGTTTTTCCTCGATGTTCTGACAAACTGAGCAATGCTCGAGTGCAGTAGTAGGGAGGGTGGAAGAGTGCATAGCGTTTCTTCATTGTCCACCATTTTGGAGTTTATTCTACGTTCAATAGAGTTGTAGTTTTTTTTTTTTTTTTAATTCTGGTTTATTTCATGTACCTATCCTGGATTTTGATTTCAGCTATCAGGGTGTCAAACTGTTTCTGATATATTATTCTGGAAAGTTAATTAGTGGGTAGAAAACCATGCTTAGTGAATAGGGACCTAGATATGATCGGCTTCCTCGGTTTCAGTGGTTTACTGCATGTAAGGACTAAGAAGAATTATAGTCTGTGAAAGGTTTCAAATGAGTAAAAAATTATGACATATTATAGAGGTGGTGCCTGAACACAGTGGTTCCTTTAGTAGTAAAGGTGATTTACTTAATTATTTTTAAAAGTATCATTATTGCTTTTATTTGCAATAGGGACTAGGGAGGTGAGATGAGTTGCATTATCTCTAGTAAACGAATTTGATATAGATACAAAGTATTGGTAGGACTGGAAGTACCAATTGGTGTTTCTTTCCAGATTTGAATTACTTTGCTTTCAATGCCATGGAATGCTTTGAGAAAAGGAAATTGCAGTTGCCTGGAGACATGCACTGAAGTAAAGGAGGTCTCTGTTTCATTTTAAGTAGTTGTCAGACTTTAAAGTGGTTATTGCCTCTTTGTGAATGGCCTTGTTTCTACTTGATGGCACTATTTGGCTGCATTTAGTTGTTGGAGTAGGTTAAGGTTTCATTTTGTTTTAAATGCTTGTTGTATCACAAATGGTAAGAAAAATATGGCACTTAGTTTCAGCATTTTCTATTTCTTCTTCTTTGGAGTAATTCTAATATGCCAGATCAACCTATAAGTACTTTGAGTTGGTTGTTGAGATCTTTCCTGTTAAAACTAAGTTTCTTGATTTTAGAGAAAATTTCAGTTTTCTTTTCTTGGAAACCATTTAAAAGATATTCCAAAAAGACACCTAAATGATTATCTTTTTTTTTTTTTGATCGATAAATGATTATCTTTTTTGGTAGAAAAGATAATTCATTAAGAACTAAGAAAAACATACAAAGCAACAAGACACAACCCAGACAAGACTGACACAACCAAACTGACCCAGACTCAATACCACCAAGCACTTGACTACTATTATCGAGAACCAACACATGAGCCAACCAAAAAGGAGGCCAACTAAGCACCTCACCTGATTCACTAAAACCTTTCTTAGCAGCAATATGGGCTACACTGTTGCCACCATGATGGACAAACTTAAATTTAAGATCCAAACTATTACTAAAAGAGAGGATGTTGTGGATAACAAACCAAACATCAAAGGACATCCCAGCTTTTGATTTAACAAAAAAGCAACAACAGACAGGTTATTACATTCTACATCAATATTTAAACAACCCAACTTAGATGCAAAAAAGACACCTTTCTTGACAGCAAAAACCTCAGCTTGTACAGGTGAAGAAGCTTGACACTTTCCAAACTTTGCACCAACGAAAATTTTCAAATCATGTGCAACCACACTAAAACTACTATAGGTGGGTCTGATCCGCATAGATGGGCCAACATCTCTATTGGCCACTGGGCATGAGCCAGTCTCGAGGTTTCTTTGAGCTTCGTCCTTTTTCTTTTGATCAATAACAGAAACTTTATTTTGAAGGATAGAAAAGAGAAGAGAAACAAATACAGAAGCCAAGGGGAGAGGTAAGCTCTCTCAATCCTCCCCAAAAGAAAAGCAAAAAATTACAAGGAAGGCCAAAAAGATGAACCCTTCCCACCCCCTGTTTGGCTAATGCATCAGCAAAGGAATTAGCACTCCTTTTAACCAACTGCAGTCTCACTTCCATACCCCGGGTCAACCACTTAAATTTCTTTCTTTCCTTCACAAATTCCCACAGCCCATTATCCTTTTTTTCTAACTATCCAATTTCTAGCTTAGAACTACCTTCAATAACCAATTTGTGAATATTTAACTCTTTTGCACTTTTTGCACCTTCCAAGACAGCCAGGACTTTAGCTTTGAGAGAATCTCCTACACCAATTGATTCTGAGAATAATGCGATAAGTTTTCCTTCCTCATTCCTAAAGAATCCTCCAATGCCTAAAGGACTAGGGTTGCCTTCACTACTCCCCTCAAAGTTTAGCTTTGTAAACCCACCAGCTGGTGGAGACCAAATGGGATTGATTACAGCTTTATATGGGGTTGATTTAGCCATTTCTTCCCAGTTATTAAGCAAGGCTCCTGTGGATATATCCTCAAAGATTTTCAAAGATTTCACCCACTGAACCACCCTAGTAGTGATGAATTCAACAATAGTACTTCTACTCTCCTTGTCAAGGAAAGTCCTTTGATTCCTTTCTTCCCAAACTGTCCAGCAAATAGCAGCTCTAGTGCATCTCATAGAACTTTCCCCATCTTCTTTATCCCACTAATCTGTGGAAGAATCAAATAGGCTTTGTATATCTGGTGGAGGAGTCCACCTAGAACCAAACAAAGAGAGAAACCAATCCCAAATAGATATAACAAAATGGTAGGAGATTTAATAAGCGGTAGCAAGTGTCACCACTAGTCTTACAAAGTATGCACCAGTTGGGCGACAAGCACTGCGAAAATCTTTTTCTTTGAAGTAGGTCACAAGTTTTAATCTTCCTCAAAATGACTTCCCAACAAAAGGCCCCAATTCTTGGTGGAACCAATTTACCCCACACTTCCTTAATAGGAAAAGGAAACCCAAGATTGTCAGAAGGTTGAACCAAGGATCTAAAAGGGGGCACAAGAAAAGGAACCAAAGGGTGGTACAGTCCTTCTAGACATGGAGGCTCTACACTGGTTTAAGGGATTTGTGGACAGCTTAATCTTTGCACTGAAGACACCAGGTTGGAGGAGTGAAATGGTCAAAGGCGAAAAGAAATTCATGTTTGAAAACAAAAGTAATAAGAATCGCTGTTTCATTGCACTAACAGAGTTTGGAAAAGGAAAGACAGAAATGATTTGCTTACCGGAGGGAAGAGCAAGACAGGAGTGGTTGATGCTAGCTGCAATGCTAGAAGAGATTACATTAAAGGAAAGGAATAAAAGCCAGTGAGAACAGAAATAAAAACAAACTTTGGAGCAAAAGAGAAAACTGAAAACAGGTACAAAGGTTGGAGACTCAGATCCTAAATTGGAAGATACAGAGACAAGCAACAAAAAAAGAGAGAATGCATCAATGATTGTTCTGGTGTCCAGCTCAAAATTAACGTGGCAAGGAAAGAGAACTGATTGGGGGAAGAGGAAGGTGGTGAAAGCAAAAACTGAAGTAAAAGATTGGAAGAGGATACTAGAAGCAATTATAGAGAAGACTCACTTTGAGTTGCTCCTCACACAAATATGGTGATTATTAAGCTTTTTGGACTGCCATTTAACCTCTGGCAGGAACAGATTCTTCACAAAATAGTAGTACTTTGGGGTGGAGTCTTGGAAGCCCATTTTCTGCAAGATCTCCGAGTAGCTAATATCAAGTTTGTGGGGGTGAAACCAGAAAAAAATCCCTCAAATAGTGGAAATCTTCATTGAAGATTGATGGAGGACAATTTAGGTGGCATCAGTGATTGAAGCGAAATTCTAGTCTTCAGGGATGAAGGAAGAAGAAGATGACTTGGGCGTTTGGATGCCATGTGGAAGGAGTTGGGTGGACCGCCCACAAGGTCAACATGAGAATAAAGTCCTAGAAACTTAAGGATCGGATGGAATTTGTAGAATGAGCTTCTTTCCATTAAAAGCTGATTTTGCAAATGTTTTTGAATTCAATCCAACAGCCCAGAAGATGACCTATGCACGGGTGTTAAGATCAAGTTCTAATCTTGGAGGTTCACGTGGAGCACAAGATTTAAGTGAAACTTTGGGAAACCGCCAAGTAATTGAATTAAATCAGTGGAGCCCAAGGCGTGGTCAGGTTTTGATGAACTCAGCGAGATACAATGTTCCAACTCGCCAGGATGGGGATCATGTTATCTACTTTCTCAATTCTCACAGCGAGTTGAGACATTCAGTGTATTATGCGAGCAACAAAACAAAGAATAGTAAAGGGCCTTTGAATCTGGACGATAGATTGGATCTATCATTGTCCCAAGCCGAGGTGCTTGTTAGAACTATAGCAAGTGTGTGCTCGGGGTCGTCTCTACAGTGGGTTTCAAGGCCTGAGGTAGCTCAAACAGCTCTGGTTGGAGCAGTAATGGAATGTCCT